CCCGAGGGGTCCCAGACTGGGAGAGGGCACAGGCCGGGCTGGGGGACCCCCCCCCGGAGTGCACAAATTTTTGTGCACCGGGCCTCTAGTATATATATAAAAGGCTAAGTTGACTCACGCATACTCGATACTTATAAAGTTCTCACTGGCGCCAATTGCACACATGTGTTTTGATCTGTCATTGTCAATACTGAATTTGGTTGGCACTTCTATTATATAGAAAGGGTGAAGAGCGATATTAAAATATTTCTTCTAATTAATTTTCTTTCAATGTGCACGAATCCATGCCCCGGGCCACTAGTATGAAGTTATCTTAGCATATCCAGGCTACCATTCCATCTCTATGTCTAAATAGGCTTTATCCTGTTGATGGACTAAAACAAGAGTTAAATAATTGAAAGTAAAGGACAGCATAGATAAAGATGTGACTGGCAATATTCAAAATAAGGGCCAGGAGTTGGTTTTTCACATCACATTAACACACAGCTTCCCAGAACTCCATAGTCCTTTCCAATATCATTACAAACAAAGAGCAGATTTCCCTGTTCAGGAGGCTGCTACTACAGAGAAATCATTGGCTTCACATATGAGATCCTCCCTTTAGTGCTCACTGGTACCTCTACAGAGCCCCCAAGTCCTCAGACAGGGCCCTATGCTTACACTAGGAAGTAGGATTATTGCCTGGACAATAGGAGCCCTTGTAGGCTCTTTCTCCTCTCTTTTGCTGAAAGTTCAGGCTCAAAGTTGAAGACTTTTTATCATAAAGCAGGCAAAAGGTTAAAGTCCTGGCCCCTCGTGGGTAGAACTGCCTTGAATAATCTCTCCCTATAGAATAACCTCTCCCTGTGCCTGTAAGAAGACCAGGATAGCAGTGCAACAGCCTACACAATACCCCAACCTGAAGACCTGGAAATGGCCTAAGAAGCTCTTCTCCATGTGCTGGGACAAATGCTAGACTTCTTTTCTTCATTGGATTTCAAAGAGGCAAATACAGAGAGTAAGCATTGCAGAGTTGACATCTTCCAAAGGCCATCGGACCTTGAACTCTTTGAACCAGGGCAGAGAAAACAAGCATTTCATGGGGTCCAAGATATCTGGTAACTCATCTCCCTTAGCTTGTGACTGCTCTGTATTGGAATCCTCCCTGAAATTACAGAACATGTGAAGCCGGTTCTTGACTCTCTCTAAACCATTGGTGGGCCTTAGCGGGCTGTGCTCTTCCCTAACTCTAAGAGGAAGAACCAATTTAATTTTCGAGACCAAGAAAGAACCAATTTAATTTTGTGTTTGGGGACTGGATAGATGAGAGACACACAGAATCCCTAGGTTAGGAGCTAAACAAGGCAGGAAACCATGTCAGAATAAAATTATTGGAATGTAGGTCCATAAAAAGCTGTAAGGTCTGGCATGTAACTAGAAACTAGAGGAGTGCATAAACCATGACATGTCTTAGGGGTGCCCAAACTGTGCCATTCTCTTCATGTGAGAGAGTTTAGAGTTGAAAAGGACATGCACCCTAGTCAAATAAAGAGTGGAATCATGTTCCTCTCGGCCTTTTCATTTAGTGCTATAAAGCGGGTTTTCACAATTAGATATTGAGGTGGAGTTCAGCATGAAGAGCACTTTTATGAAACTCCATATGAAGGATGGGAAAGGAAGCTGCATTGGGATGCGGTTGCAGTTAATTGCAGTGTAGGCATAACAGTGTATGGCTCCTCAGAGTTGTTCCATGGTGGCCTGAAATGGCTGGCCTTTGTACGCCTTTTCATTCTGTAGTGCATGAGGGTAGCTAAGGGAAGCACTTGTCCTCGAAGCAGAGACAAACCTTAAGGAGGGGACAACTGAAGGCTGATGACATACTCTCAGCATCTGAACCAACACACCGTCCCTTGTGGGGAAATTGGTGCCTTTCCAAGTTCTCCATATCCAGTGGCTTCTTGAATTTGACTATACTTTCTAGCATCTGTGTTTAGAGATCAATTGAAACTTTAATGCTGCTTGCTCCATAAGACCTGAAAAAATGTAGATGCATTCTCTGCAAATGTCAACTTAATGTTGTCTAAAATACGCTAGACCAAGTCAGAACTAGGTTTTACACCCAATCTAACAGTGAACTGAATTACCTTCAGCAGATGTTTAATTCTAATTTCAGATGTGTAACATTCAGATTATAGTACTCGCTTCGGCAGCACATATACTAACACATTCAGACCATAACCCCAACTTGGTAAAAATCATATAGGATTATAAGAATTTCCTTGACTGATGCAGAGCACTTTTAATGTTCTATCTTACCCCAGCTTTTCTGTAAAAGCCAAAATCTCAAAGTGTGACCAAGTAAAAAGCAGATATTCCACATGATCTGAACTCACCATTTGTAATTTATTATTATTGGCAAAACATCTCTTCCCAAGACTTTTTGAAAACTGAAAACACACCAAAAGCACCTGTGGGTGCACACCATCAAATTCTGCTGCACACAAGTGGATGGTGACCAGCTGAGGACTTCTCTGCTGTTTCCCTTCAGGACCACATCCCATGTTCAAACTGTGTGCTTTATCCCTTATCTTTCCCACCTGAGGAGAAAACGTTAGAGGAGGCCTAAAGACCTGGAAAGCTCCTATGTTCGAGAATCACATAGATGAAACATCCTAGAAGGTGATGAACCCACAAAAGACAAGCTTAGACATACATTATTCCTTCTGATAATGCATCTTTCGTATGCACAGAAAAAAAGTGGGCAAGTGTTTATAACTAGGAACCATACTGCTCAATGCTCAATCATGAAGAATACTGAACACCAATATCCTCTGCTACTGTCCCACTCAGTCAGCTCTTGTCATGTGTCAGTTGCACACAGCTAGGCAAGTGAACTCTGCTTCTATGAGGCACTGGACTCTGCTTTAGCCTCTAGAGTTAGTTTCCCAAAGAGTTCTCTCTCTCCTTTCCACTAAAAAAAAAAGCTTATGTTTTGCATCAACTGCAGAAATCCATTTCTTTTTTTCACTTCACCCATTCTATTTTCCCAAAACTCCCTCCCCTCCAGGGTTGTATACCCAGGATATCCCTTAGGACCAACACGTCCATCACTACTGGTTCCTTCTACCCAGAAAGTCTTCTCAAACACAGCCCAGCTGGGGCTCCAACTCACCTGAGGTGGCTCCGAAGAACACCGAGCTCCCCTGGATGACCCAGTGCTGCCATCTCCTGGCCAGAACACTGAACTCAGTCCCATGGGCCTTGTCTGATTCCCCCACCTGTACTTCCAGCCAAGATGCCAGAGGTATTCAGAATTCATTAATAGCAATGTCCCAGGGAGTCAGAAACCTCACTGTTTGTGGATTCCACGGGCTCACAAAATAAGAATAGCTCAAATGGCCTAACCTGTTATTTTGTTGCCGGTGGAAATCATGTTCTTTCACAGGATCTCAAGGAAGGCATTTCAGGGGCCCATCAAGTTGTGGGTGTGGCGTGGTAAAATGTAATTGTCTGCCCCCAGGTGCCCAATGTCTCATCTCTGCCCATCCTTCCATGGAAAAGTTCCACCTCATTTTCATCAGGGCCAAAATAAAAACCAAGGTCCAAATGTTCTGTGCCATTGTTTCAGTTCATATTAAAACTCAGTCCAATCCACTCTTTATCACCATCGTGTTCGCTTAGCTTGTTTTTCCCGCTGCACCTTGGCTGGGGCCCGTTTGGAGCCTCAGGGCTACCACTTTCCACTAAAAAAAAAAAGCTTATGTTTTGTATCAACTGCAGAAATCCATTTCTTTTTTTCACTTCACCTCTCCTTTCCACTAAAAAAAAAAGCTTATGTTTTGCATCAACTGCAGAAATCCATTTCTTTTTTTCACTTCACCCATTCTATTTTCCCAAAACTCCCTCCCCTCCAGGGTTGTATACCCAGGATATCCCTTAGGACCAACACGTCCATCACTACTGGTTCCTTCTACCCAGAAAGTCTTCTCAAACACAGCCCAGCTGGGGCTCCAACTCACCTGAGGTGGCTCCGAAGAACACCAAGCTCTCCTGGATGACCCAGTGCTGCCATCTCCTGGCCAGAACACTGAACTCAGTCCCATGGGCCTTGTCTGATTCCCCCACCTGTACTTCCAGCCAAGATGCCAGAGGTATTCAGAATTCATTAATAGCAATGTCCCAGGGAGTCAGAAACCTCACTGTTTGTGGATTCCACGGGCTCACAAAATAAGAATAGCTCAAATGGCCTAACCTGTTATTTTGTTGCCGGTGGAAATCATGTTCTTTCACAGGATCTCAAGGAAGGCATTTCAGGGGCCCATCAAGTTGTGGGTGTGGCGTGGTAAGATGTAATTGTCTGCCCCCAGGTGCCCAATGTCTCATCTCTGCCCATCCTGCCATGGAAAAGTTCCACCTCATTTTCATCAGGGCCAAAATAAAAACCAAGGTCCAAATGTTCTGTGCCATTGTTTCAGTTCATATTAAAACTCAGTCCAATCCACTCTTTATCACCATCGTGTTCGCTTAGCTTGTTTTTCCCGCTGCACCTTGGCTGGGGCCCGTTTGGAGCCTCAGGGCTACCAGTGCCTCAGGCAGCTACTAAGCCGTCTGTTATAGTAATAAGTTTAGTTAGTATAAGTTAGCATAAGCAAATTCCATTTTGTATTAGAGTGAATTTTAACTTTACTTAGAAAAGGAACTTAATTTGTGTGTGTGTGTGTGTGTGTCCCTGATAAATACCTTGTAACCCCCTGCATGTGTATCCTGATAAGCCCAGAAGGCACCACTGGAGGACACTGATATGAGACGCTGAAGAAGCCCACCCATTGGGTATAAAAGAAGGACTCTCACACCAGCAGTTAGATGCTTGTCTGCCCTCCACAGACAAGACGTTCTCCTTGCCCCTGGAAACTGCCGTTCCTGCTCTGCCTCTGAGCCCAGACTGTTAGAGGCCTCTCTTTGTGTCAAGAGACTGAGCACCTGCCGCAGCGTATCTGACGACCTCCGTGTGTCTCTGTCAGCGAGTGTCTCCAGGTGGCCTGCCAAGGACTGAAACCCATCAGCTCTCTGGTAAATAAACCTGTGTGATTCTTGCATTCTGTTTGTCTCCTGTGTCTTCTCTCTTCTTAGTTTTGGTTTAAGCTCGGCCTAATTAATTAATAATAAGTACCCTTAGACGTCTGTATTGGTATATCCAAATGAGGCGCTCTGGGTCACCTGTGCATACGTTCCCATAGAAGTGGAACATCGTCCCAGTCCCCGTCCAGGCAGGAACACAGCGCTGTTCGGCTGTGGCTGGGATTCCTTGCTGGGTGGCTGTACCCAGGTTCCCTCTTGAAAGCTGCATTTGGAGGCCCTGCAGCTGCTAAGGCCACATAGCTGCTAAGGAAAGAGCAGGGGCTAACCAATGGGCGGAGGGCAGGTTACCAGGCCAGTGGGAGAGAAAGCTTTGTTAGCTGGGATTATATCATCTCAGGTTTGGAAAAGGCCAGGCGCTTTTTCAAAATAACCAATCAACTTCCCAAGCTTCTACGGGCTTTGCTGGGCCCACCCCTTAACCAATCCAATGTTTCCCCAGGCTAGACTGATGGTTCCAGCTTGACTCCTATTGGTCATGTCCAAGAGTAGAAGCACCTCCCCCTGCACCCTCTTGAAGGCTATTGCTCACGGCTATTGCAAGTGCTGTTGCGTCATCTGGTTTCTACCGCAGGTGTCCCCAGCAGGGGAACTTCCCCTCTTCCTCCCCATAATCCTGAGACTGCCCTAGTGCTCCAGGGAGACTTTCCCTGTTCGCTCCAAGAATTAAATCTCTGGGGCAGGGTCCCCTGGAGTGTGTAAATGAATCCGTAAATGCTATAGCTTCCTGGTAAATCAGGCTTAATAGAACGAACTTTCTAATGAAGCAGATTCCACTTCCCTCGTTTATTAGGCTTAATATTTGATTCAGCTCCCTAGTTGATTATGATTAATGCCTGAGTTCCATTATTCCCTTACTTTATTAATACCCAGGTTGAATACTGAATGTCCTGAGAGGTCAGATTGCTGTCAAACATGGCCCATGGACATGGATGCCAGAAGCCAGTCCATCCTTGCTGCTTGACACAGTCACTGCAGGAAAGAAACATCTGCATAGCAATGTTTCAAGGGACCTGGCATATATAGCATACTGTTCTTAATATGTTTGCTCCTGGCCCTAACCGGTCTGGCTCAGTGGATAGAGCGTCAGCCTGCAGACTAAAGGGTTCCAGGTTCGATTCCGGTCAAGGGGGAAAGGAGAAAGCAAGATTGGTCCATTGCTGGAAGCCGGTCCATCCTTGCTGCTTGACACAGTCGCTGCAGGAAAGAAACATCTGCACAGCATATGTTTCAAGGGACCTGGCATATATAGCATATTGTTCTTAATATGTTTGCTCTCCTTAGCGCCATGTGTTTTAACCAAGGTCACCTCTCCGAGAAAGGTTGTTTCCCCAGGTGGGGATTTTTCCCTGAGGTTAGGGAGGGGATACAACCCCCTAACTAAGTGCCAGGCGGGTAGTTAATCACTTTAACTACAAACAATCACGCTTAAGCTACATAATCTTTACTCCCTGGAATGGAGATAAGAAACGCCCCAACCTTTGCAATAGAAATTGACAGGATTAAAATCAACTGGTATAAATACAGATGTAACAAGACTATAAACACCAGAACTTCGCTGGAGATCCTGGACAGAGCTTGGCTGGAGATCCTGGCTAGAGAACCTGGCTAGGCTGCTGATCAACTGAAGGCTGTCTCTGTGTCTTTCCTTCCTCGCTGACTCCGTCCACACCTTTGGGAACCCCTGGACCTGTTGGGGCTGGACCCCAACAGATTGCGCCCGCTGTTCTAGCGCCAGCGCTGCTCTCCGGGAAGGGACGTCTGTCTCTGAAACGGAAGCCTCTTGGCATCTGTGTTGTCGCGTAGGAGATAAAGTCGGAGGAGGTGAACAAACCTCTCGGAGGTGCCACTGGCAGAGAAATTGTTTTCCTCTTCTCCACGATGTACAGAACCAAAGTGGGCCTGAAGGACCGCCAGCAGCTTTACAAGTTGATCATTAGCCAGCTGCTCTATGATGGCTTCATCAGCAGTGCTAATGGCCTCATCAATGAAATCAAGCCTCAGTCTGTTTGTGCACCCTCAGAGCAGCTCCTGCATCTCATCAAACTAGGAATGGAAAACAATGATACTGCAGTTCAGTATGCAATTGGTCGTTCGGATACAGTTGCCCCAGGTACGGGCATTGACCTGGAGTTTGAGGCAGATGTCCAGACCATGTCCCCAGAGGCTTCAGAGTATGAAACCTGCTATGTCACATCCCATAAAGGACCATGCCGAGTAGCTACCTATAGTAGAGATGGGCAGCTAATAGCTACTGGGTCTGCTGACGCCTCCATAAAGATACTCGACACAGAAAGAATGTTGGCCAAAAGTGCCATGCCAATAGAGGTTATGATGAATGAGACTGCACAACAAAATATGGAAAACCACCCAGTGATCCGGACTCTTTATGACCATGTGGATGAAGTCACATGTCTTGCTTTCCACCCAACAGAACTGATCCTTGCCTCTGGTTCAAGGGATTACACCCTTAAGTTATTTGATTATTCCAAACCCTCAGCAAAAAGAGCCTTCAAGTACATTCAGGAAGCTGAAATGTTACGCTCCATCTCTTTTCACCCTTCCGGAGACTTTATACTTGTGGGGACTCAGCATCCTACTCTTCGGCTCTATGATATCAACACATTTCAATGTTTTGTCTCTTGCAATCCTCAAGATCAACACACCGATGCCATATGTTCTGTTAATTACAACCCTAGTGCCAACATGTACGTAACTGGTAGCAAGGACGGCTGCATCAAGTTGTGGGATGGCGTCTCGAATCGGTGCATCACAACTTTCGAGAAGGCACACGACGGTGCTGAAGTTTGTTCTGCCATCTTTTCCAAAAATTCTAAATACATTCTTTCAAGTGGAAAAGACTCTATAGCTAAACTTTGGGAAATATCAACAGGACGAAAGCTGGTCAGATTCACAGGTGCTGGCTTGAGCGGGCGGCAGGTGCACCGGACACAGGCTGTCTTCAACCATACAGAGGACTACGTGCTGCTGCCAGACGAGAGGACCATCAGCCTGTGCTGCTGGGACTCACGCACAGCTGAGCGCCGAAACCTGCTGTCCCTGGGCCACAACAACATCGTGCGCTGCATCGTGCACTCGCCCACCAACCCCGGCTTCATGACCTGCAGCGATGACTTCAGGGCCAGGTTCTGGTACCGGAGGTCAACCACAGACCAGAACCCCCCCCCCGCCTTGCCTTAAATAGGGTTCTTTTCTACAGGACCCTGCCCCTCCCTCCCATGTGTCCCATCACCAGCCTCAGTAGAAAGTCACGGTACCATCTTTGGCAGTCGGGCTGCCACCTCTGCATCCTTCTTGGATTTTGTACAAAAGGGTCCTTTTTTACCTTGATGTGGAATCATGGTGGAAAAAGTGGGAAACGCAGACCCCTGCTCTGCACTCACTGATTATTACAGTGTGATTTTCATCGGTTTTGTAAATACAGGACTTGCCATTTCTCTGAACTTGATCTTTTGAAGAAGGGTAGAGTATTAAAGTGCTTTCCAGATCTCGTGTGGATCTGTCCTGAGGAATTCTCATTGGGCTCTTTTATCATCTTCTGTGCCTGTTCCACATCCTCTCTGTGTTTTCCTTTCCAAATGCATTTTGACCGATGAGTAGGCATACCTTGAGAATCGAGTTTCGTGCCCTATTAAACCACTTTAGAGAATCGGTTCTCTGAAAGGACATCCTAATAATAAAGCTCAGACCTGCAACTTTACTGTTACACATTTTCACTTCAATAACATCAACGGCCAGTTTTTCCTGAAGATTACAGAAGCATCTTTCATCAGACCTCCCACATTACCTTTCATACCTGCAGTGCTCGTCTTCAGTAAATGCACTTCCCCTCAAATGATGCCATCTGATGGGAAGCATAGATTTGGAGATGATATACCATCTAATTGGAATTAGGTGGTCCCACCACTGCCCTCAGGTGTTGCTTGTCTTCATGAATGGCTAATATTGATTGGCTTTGTTCTTATGTAACTTTAAATCTTATTTTTCATCCTGAACCTTAACTACTCATCATGGATGCACAAGGCAACTGTGTTCTCAGAAGATATTTGCAATTAACTGACTGATACAAGTTTTCTTTTTCTTGAAATTTTTT